GAGTAAACTTCCCCTCTTTCCTTCCAGCGAGGCCGGGTGTTCCTGGGGTGCAGGGCAGAGCGGGGCCCTGCCAGCCCGACCCCGCGGCTGCCTGGCTGGAAGCTGAGAGTGGGAGCACTGGGACAGCAAACGTCCCGGGAATTGGATTTCTCCTTGCTTTCCCTGAGCACGGCAGCCCCGGGAGAAGCCCTTATCAGCCGGGCTGCGGAGAGGCTGGGTGTTGCCTCGGGCACTGGGGAAACAGAGATTTCGAATCTCTGGGTGCCTGGCTGGGGGCCGGTGGGGCTCTGCGGAAATCTCGGGACCCTCGCGCCCCGGAGCTGATGCCTCCCACCCAGCTGTGCGGGTGCCTCCGGTAACCCCTCCCCAGCTCGGGTGCAGGGTCCCCTGCTCCGATGAGGTTAGCTCCGTAGCCTGTGGAGCGATGCCCCAGCCTAGGGCTGGTGCCAGCGTGTTCTCCTCTGCCTGCGCTGCCCTGCTGCCTGAAGCAACGCCGATTCCTCCACGGCAAGCTCTCTGACTCAGGGTGGCTTTCAGAGCTGGAAACCCAGCAGCCGGCCAGTCCGGGCTGCCCTGGCGGTTGGGTATGATTCAGCCCTGACCTTTGCACGCAGCGTCGGGCTGGCAGAGAGGCAGGGGGGCTCCCTCAGGAAGGCGGCAGCTGGTGCCTCCGGTAACCCCTCCCCAGCTCGGGCGCAGGGTCCCCTGCTCCGATGAGGTTAGCTCCGTAGCCTGTGGAGCGATGCCCCAGCCTAGGGCTGGTGCCAGCGTGTTCTCCTCTGCCTGCGCTGCCCTGCTGCCTGAAGCAACGCCGATTCCTCCACGGCAAGCTCTCTGACTCAGGGTGGCTTTCAGAGCTGGAAACCCAGCAGCCGGCCAGTCCGGGCTGCCCTGGCGGTTGGGTATGATTCAGCCCTGACCTTTGCACGCAGCGTCGGGCTGGCAGAGAGGCAGCGTGGCTCCCTCAGGAAGGCGGCAGCTCCGCTCCGGGAAGGCTGTTGCTGCCCACCGCCCGCGAGGGATCTCATCAACGCTCCTCAGAAGGTGTCCCTCCGGCAGGGATGCGCTCGGCCGTCCATTGGCAGAAAATATCTGCGCCTGCTGTCACAGGAAAAGCGCCTTCTCAAGATATTTCATTTCTGACAGAGCAGAAAACAAGCAGTATTCAACGACCTCAAGGAAAAATGAGAACCTGAGTGACTTGCTCAAGCATTGCTTTGGCGAAAATGCTTTCCTTCGTTTCCTTGGGTTTCTTTCCTCTGGCCTGGGGAGGACTGGGATTGCCCTGAACTGGACAGGTCTTCTGTTAAGCCATGGGCAGAGGGTGCGTGGCGTGGGCTGCGTCTGGAAGCCCCTTCCAGCCGTGCCTGGGACAGAGGGGGAGCCTGTTTGCCTGGGAGGGGGACAGCAAGTGAGATCCCTTCGGGTGCTGAGAAGCCCGACGGGTGACGGCCACCCAACCCGTGCCACGGCAGCGAGAGGTGCTGCCCCTTTGAGAGTCCCTGGAAGGACCGATGGAAGGCTGGGTCCCACACGCGGCGATGAGGAGCAGTGGGGCAAACAGGGGGCAGGCAGGCACAAAGCACCGATTCTGCAGGGTGCTTTCGGTCCCCTGCTCTGGCCGTTCGCAGTGTGAGGGCTGCTTTCGTGGGGTGGCCAGAGCATCTCGTTACCGGAGGGGCCCCCTTCGGCGTTCCGAGCGGGCAGCCTTTCTCCTCTGGGCTGGGGACAAGGGGGCTGCCTGGGACTGCCCTACCCACCGAGCCAGACGTGCCCCCCGCCTTAGAGCATTGGGAACGGTGACCCACTGAT